GCGCATGCCAGGCCATGCCCCTTCAGCACGCTCTCTGTGGCTCGTTTGGCTTGTTCGGCGTTTGTGCGTTTGATGTTACAGTCTGTTCTGTGCCTTTTCCGGTCTGCGGGTTTTCATGTTTCCGTGTTTGCTCATTTGTGGCTTGCTTCTGCTTGGGCTCTTGGATGTACGTTTTCTAGGCTGTGTTAAAACGCCTCGCTGTAGCTTGCCTTTTTGCTTGCTGTTGACTGTGCGTTTCTCAATCGCAGCTTGGCTACTTCAGGTTGTCAGGTGTTAGCGGCTGAAAAGCTAGTGCATCCCACTGGTTGCTGGCTGGTGGCTCATTTGGTTCAGAACTGCAAGGGCAACGTTTGCGTACGTTAGCGATTAACTAATTATTGAGAGTTGTTTGGTTCAAGGCCGCTGTTTGGCTGTTGTTGGCCGGGTGTGGTGCAAGTGTCAAACAGCTCATGCATACATAGCGCCTTGACACCCTTGTGAGAAGCGAGCGAGCGGAGCCAGCGAGCAGCGCAAGCGTTCAAGCTCAACCGTGCAAATCAGCCCCAGACAAGATAAAACAAACGGTTTGGACAAGATTTGCTCGTGGACCCCAAAGGTTCAACCGATCATTCTAACTCAAGGGATTCTTGCCAAAAAAAGCTACCTGGCTGAAATAAAAAGCCGCTACAGTTTGGAATAATATTGGGCGTTGGAGGTGAAGCCATCGAGTCTCTTGTATTTTGAGGTAATTTAGAAAAACCAGGTATATTTGAACATACCTTGCTTTTTCTGTTTTGAGCAAAAAAACCCGGTATATTTTTCTCGACCCGCAAAATTGCAGGTATGCGGTTTAGAGGGAAGGCACATGAGTTCACCTCATCCCTGACGATCAACATGCTCACTATGAAGCATGGAAACCTTGCGAGGAATCCAAAGCTGGACAACAAGGAGGTGAATAACATGGCAATGAAGGATCGGCCAATCGTGAAGATGATGATGCAGAACAGTGCGCGCATCTTATGCCTAAATGAAGCAGACGCATTCCTCAGTCCTCAAGATGAGAAATCCAGGGAACTCATCAAGACGTTCATCCGGTTTGGATACAAGGGCATCGTTATCAAGCAATGATCTCCAGACCAATCGCATGCTGTGTACGCGGCGGACCTTCCGCAAGAGTGGAACTATTGGCACGGCACATTTCCACAAGGAGTCAAAATTGGGGAACCGCATTCGGGATGTTCAGATGCTTTTTCGGAACCGAGGACAATTGCACTGATCCTGAATACGACATCCCGACCTCGGACTGCCTGGCAACTACGGGAACATCCATGTTCACTGAATCCAAGAAGTACATTGGACCGAGATTGCCACCACGCACCACTGTCCAAGGACACGGGCGTAACAAGGAGATTGTTGTTCTCCACATCCAGCAGAGTGATGAGTATCGTGGTATGCTTCCAAAAGCAGCACGGGAAGATCTTCAGAACGAAATCATGCCGCTCGTGACACTGTACCAATGCGATGCGATCACCGCAGACGCCAACAAATCCGCGAATACCTACAGCAGACTCCAGCACGTCTTCAATCCGGCCAACGGTCTCATGAATATCCTCATGAAGGCATATCAGAGATTGTGGAATGAAACAGAGAATCTGCCACTTGTGGACAGAATGGAGTATGCAATGGAGACTTCATGCACCCTAAAATCCATCGTCCGTCATCACCTATACATGAAGACTGGATCAGGGTATGATCGAACATTCCCAGGTGTTATGATGACTTTCGTGTTCGGGTGGGGCAAAACGAATATCCAGCAGGTCTTATGAAAGATGAACAACTGGAAGCCATGCGGAACGATCCTACGCCTGCCATTTTCGACTATCAGGTCTCATCCGCGGAACGTTTCAAGCACGTGAACAACGATATGTTCATGAATGGCTCTCAAGATTCCGACTCACACAGTCCGCTGATGGTCTACATCCGCAGCAGGCCGCCAGGCAACGCAACTTTGAGAGATCCAAGGAGCACCTCAAGAAGAAGCAATCCTGGACTGAGCAAGAGTACAAGGAATACAACAAGCAGTACTGGGGCAATCCAAAGCAATGGAAAGACTATGGCGACTCGACCTGGCATGGTTATGGAGACTATGGCAGTCAATCCGGCAGCAGCCATCGTTGACCACCTGATGAAGCAGCCACCTTTGGCACTTATTCGACCGACTGAGAAGACACCCACGATCGGCTCACCGCCAACAAGACTATACAGTGAGAGATCAATAGTTTCACATCCGTCCCGCATGTACATAGCGTTGTGCATCACCTTTTCGATACATCTAGGTATCTCACAGAATCAGTACAGACTGTTTTCCATTTTGCTCACAGGCGCGCCAAAATAGGATGAATCATTGTAACAATATATGGCTACGGCACGTAAGGCCAAGAAGCCAATCATACAATTCGGTGTGAAAGTTGTGTTTGTTTTGTGTTGCTTTTTGTTGCACATTGACCTATTCACACACTCCGCTTACATGATGGCTCAAGACCCTTCAAGTCATTGTACAGTCACTCGACGCAGGGTACATTGATAAAAGGCTTGCAGACCGCTTTACAGGTATCACACAAGCCACCAAGGACAATCCATCCTCCAATCCTCCATATTGGCATATTGGAATCTCTCCAGAATAGATCCAGCGACCTCTACTAGTACAGGGTACCAGTTCCCTTCTGGGATAGGCGCCCCGGCAGTGGGCCTCCCCCCCCCCCCCGGCCACGCCCCGCCCGAACCCGAACCCGGACAGCCCGAACCTGAACCCGAACCCGAACCCGAACCCGAACCGAACTTCCCCCCTCCCCCACCAAACATCGGCAGGGGGTTGGGGCGGGCGCAGCGGCCCCCATGATAGAACAAGACTGAACAAGGGCGACGAAAAACGTCGGGCTTTGCCAAACATAGGCGGGGGGGTTTATAGGGGGGGCGCAGCCCCCCGAACAAGAACGACGAAAAATTGTGGGCTTCGTCAAACATAGGCCGGGGGGGTTGGGGGGGGGGGCGGGGTTGGGGGAGCGCAGCCCCCCCCATGATAGAACAAGAGTGAACAAGGACGACGAACATCGTCGGGCTTTGGCAAAGATAGGTGGGGGGACAAGAGCAACGAAAAACGTCGGGCTTTAGGCAAGGGGGGTTCGGGTGGGCGCAGCCCCCCCCATGATAGACCAAGACTGAACAAGGGCGACGAAAAACGTCGGGCTTCGCCAAACACAGGCGGGGGGCTGGGGGGCGCAGCCCCCCCAATGATAGAACAATATTGAACAAGGGCGACGAAAAACGTGGGGCTTCGCCAAACACAGGCGGGAAGGTTGGGGGGGGGGCGCAGCCCCTGCGCCCCCAACCCCCCGCCTATGTTTAGCGAAGTTTCGTCGTTCTTGTGTCTTGTTCTATCGTTGGGGGTGCAGCCCCCCCCCCCGATAGAACAAGACTGAACAAGGGCGACGAAAAACGTCGGGCTTCGCCAAACATAGCCAGGGGGGTGAGGGGTGGGCGCAGCCCCCCCCCCCCCC